TTGGACGTCCGAAGATTTACAAATAAAACGCAAATAAACATAAGGATCAAGATATAAGCTTAAGCTTTTCCTTAATATGTTAGAATAAATAACTTAAATATAAATTGACTTATGGATGGAGTCAATAGCGACCTACACTTCGAAAGTGAAAGACAAGAAAAAGATAAAATTTCCAACAAGTAGTATATAAATATAATTTTGTTAATACATTAAATTACATATATTTAATCATTCGTTTCAAACATCTTAACCATTGCCGTCCTTGCTAACCAACTTTGTAAAAGCCCTTGAGAAATGAATATTTGAGAAAAATCCCGTTAGACAAAGACTTGATTCCGAGAGAAGCGCAGCATGCAAATCCATGTAGAATATAATGGAGAAAATCAAATAAAATGTAGTGCTTGAAGAAGGAACGAAACAAATATGTAAAAATAATAAACAATATAAATGCATTAGTCCTAATATAAATAGTACATTATTTAGCGTTAATAAAATAAACAATACAAGTTAGGCAGATTGCGGGGGTTTAGTTAAGTTCTCAACAGATTCACATAAAGTATTATATTTATAAGAATTAAGCGGCCATGATCTTCCATCTCCTAAACTGAATACACCAAGTGTTATTTAACCATAGACAATTTTTAGACTAAAGAAAAAATGAGTAATGAGTAATGAGTAATGACTTACGAATTACCAATAGGAAGAAACCAAAAATACCATTCAGGACCCATTACTTGAATAAAATTAGCTCTGTACAAACGATTCAGTTCAATGTAAGAAAATAATTACATTCAAAATTAAATTTATATAACAGTTCGTGATAATAACATACCTTTTACCAATGTCAAACAAATTCAAGTATTTACTCGTGGTAACATCACCATCGTCTTTGATTTTATAATTATGTTTTGATAAACTTTCTAAAGTTGTCTGATTGGAAAACAATAGAGAAGTATGATATACCGCAAAACCTATTAAGGAAAAGCTTAAGCTTATATCTTGATCCTTATGTTTATTTGCGTTTTATTTGTAAATCTTCGGACGTCCAA